ATCCGCCGGAAATCCGCCGGAAATTATTACCGATTTAGGATTTCCGGCGGATTTCCGGCGGAGCTCCGGCGGAAGTCAACAAAAGTTGACTTTGTTAATTTCCGCCGGAAATCCGCCGGAAATCCGCCGGAAAATTTCCGGCGGAAATTGTCCGCCGGAAATTCCGCCGGAAATACCCAGTTTTCTAGTAGTGTATGTAATTTCAACATATCCACAAGTTTCTATTCTTGATGCAATTCTAGGGTAGATAAGATGATGACARACAATGTGCCTTCTTTTCCTAGAAAAACATATTTTAGATGGGATGGGAGTTGTTTCAACTCCAAATCAGGTGATGATTCAATGGACGGGGTGAAGTCTTTTTGCTCATTATTTTCTAGCAGCTCAAATGCTGCAGCATCCACTGGGACAACATCAGTTCCTATTTTCTCTATTTCCTCAACACTTTCCTCTTCTATTTCCTCATCATACTCTCCTTCCAACTTAAGGTTTTTCTGAATTCCTTCTTCCAGACACATCTCCTCTATTTCCTCAATTTTTGAACACTCTTCCAAGTAATCAGGGTACTTTAGAGAGTTGAAGACATTAAATGTGACTTTTTGGTCTTGGAGTCTCATGGTCAACTCTTCTTTCTGGACATCAATCAGGGTTCTTTCGGTGGCTAGAAATGGTCTTCCTAAAATAATAGGAATGTCCTTATCTGCCTCAAAGTCTAGAATGATAAAGTCTGCCGGAAAGATGAACTTATCAACTTGCACTAATACGTCCTCAATCTTTCCCTTAGGGTATGCTATGGACTTATTGGCCAATTGGAGTGTAACCGTGGTCGGTCTAGCCTCACCTATGCCTAAGGTGTTAAAGRCGGATAAAGGCATGAGGTTGATACTAGCACCTAGGTCACATAGGGCCTTCCCTATCTCCTTCCCTCCTATTGAACAAGGAATGGTAAAACTCCCTGGATCTTTTAGCTTAGGGGGTATGCTATTGGTCAAAAGTGCACTACATCCTTCCGTAAGGGCTACAGTCTCGTATTCAGTCAACTACTTCTTCTTACTTAAGATGTCATTCAAAAACTTAGCATAACTAGGCATTTGCTCAATTACCTCAACAAGTGAGATGTTGATGTGCAATTCTTTGAACACATCCAAGAATTTTTTAAAGTGCAGTTCCTCTTTCTGATTCCTCAACCTGTGGGGGTAAGGAACATAAGGAGGGACTGGTTTTATCACATTTTTGCTTGGAGGTGTTGAACAAGATGGGTCCTGAATACTTTAGGTCTTAGTGGTGCCCTTTGGAGGTTCAGATGAAATGTTAGTATCAAGCTTAGGGGTCTCTAAAACCTCAGTTTATTTTCATTTCTTTAAAGCATCCTTATGAAAGAGTAATGGAAAGTCTGATCTAGGGGGGACATATGTGTGGTCTCGGATGCCTTTTTTCTCTAAGGGTCGGACCGGTCTTTCTTTGGCAGGAACCAATGTGTAGCATCAGCTTCTGTCAAAATTGGTGCACTATCTTTGGGCACTTTTTCTGTCAACTCCTTCCCATTCCTAAGGGTCACTACTTTCACATGTTCCTTACCTAGGTCTCTAGGGACCTCTGTATTACTGGGCAAGGTACCAAGGGCTCGATTGCTCTGGTTAAGCACAAGTTGACTGAGTTGAGTCTCTAAATTCCTGATGGCCGCACTTTGTTGATTAATCAAAGCTTGGTTTTGGTCTTGTGCATGTGCAAAAAGTCCTTTAATCATTGCTTCCAAAGAAGATGATTATGTCTGTGGAGGAGGTTTGGTCTGAAAAGGTGGTTGTGAATTTTGAAAACTTTGTTGGTGAGTCTGAGAGTTAGAACTGTTTCTATGATGTTGTGGTTGGAAATTGGAAGTTCCTTGTTGCTTATGGACTGGTGGATTTAAACTTGGACTGTTCCAGGAAAAGTTCGGGTGTTGTCTCCAACTGGCATTATAATTGTTGGAATATGGATTAGCTCGGTTATGAACATAATTTACCGATTCAGAATTATGAGWACAATGTTCATATGAATGATCCCCACCACAGCACACACACTACACAGATAGGACTGATGGGACTGGTGTATTAGCAGCTTGCTGTCCTCCCTGACCAGAAGTTAAATTTTTCAGCATTTTGGTCATGGAGGTAAGCTGAGCTGTTAATGCAGTATATGCATCTACATCATGTATCCCGGTAGTCTTTTTCTGTGACTGAGCACGTGGGTCGGCCCAATGCCCATTGTTTGCCGAGATCTTTTCTAGGATTTCATATTCTTCATTATAGGTCATAGCTGTAAAGGCTCTGCCCGCAGTCGCATCGAGCATTTGTTTTGCCATGGGGTTTAACCCATTGTAAAACATCTCGAGTTGAATACAGTATGGAATGCCATAGTACGGCCATTTCCTCAACARCTCTTTAAACCTTTCCCACGCKTCAGGAACAGCCTCATCGTCCATTTGTTTAAAAAGACAGATTTCGTTCCTGGACTTAAAGTTCTTTGTTGGTGGGAAATATTTTCGCAAAAAAATTTCTGCCATGTTACTCCATGACGGCACAGAACCCGATGTTAATGAGTTAAACCATGTTTTTGCACGATCCCTCAAGGAAAATGGAAACAAAGTGAGCCTTAGAGCGTCATTTGACACTCCCGAGATCAAGAAAGCATCAGTGATTTCCATAAAAGATTTTAAGTGCGAATGTGGGTCCTCCGAAGGTAATCCTGCAAATTGGCCATTCGTTTGCAACATGTGAAACATTATCGGTTTGAGTTCAAAATGAAGAGCGGTCATATGTGGTCTAACTATCCCAAAATTCAATTGCTCAAAATCCGGAATCGCATAATCCATGATCCTCCCATTTTTGGAATTTGCCAAATTAATGATGTTCGGAGTTTGTGCTCTTTGGTGCTCATTAGGTTCCGATTCTGTGTCCAAATTATAATCATTAATATTATGTGGGTGTCCTTGTTGAAAGTTCGGGAATGGTGGAATTGGTTCAAAACTCGGTGGTTGGTTTTCCAAATGCGGTATTTTCGGAATAATTGGGGGAGGTAATGCCATGTTTGGAGGGAGTAGAGCAAAAAATGCTCTTTGAGCCCTCCTTCGATGGTGAAACATTCTCTCAATATCGTGATCAAATTCGAAAAATTCTATGCGTTATGACCGTGGCATACACCACTTTTAAAAAAAATGATTCCGATGGTACTAGAAAAATCAAATCTTTTAATTTACTCAAAATAAAACTTTTAGCGAATCAATCCCCGGCAGCGGCGCCAAAAACTTGGTCGGTTATATTTCACACTTTTAGACTAATGAAATTGGGCCACAAAGCAAGTATACAATACGTTCCAATGTCGTCTTTCCAAGTAATAAAGTGGTACAAGTACCGGAATATCGTCCACGGAGATTGTAGCCAAAGTTAAATGAGAGTCCAATGAAAGAGATGATTTTAGATGACGATTTCAAAAATTTCAGTTTGATATTAAGGTGATTTAAAACAGAATACAAATTATATAAAAGAAGCAAGGGTGTAAGACYTAAGGTGAGACCCAATCACAAATTTCAGCAGTCAATGCTATAGGAATGCTATAGCAAGTAGTGTTTCGAAACTAAGTTCCACCATCTATTTTGAAGGCATTCCTCTCGGACTTCACCATTGCACTATATTATAGCTTTTCACCCATATCTTTATGTGGTGTCCGGACTAGGGATAGTGACACGATGGTGTTTTCAAAATATATAGATAAACAAATCTCTTTGTTAAAAATCACTCTCTCGAGTCGATTCCCATATCATTCGAGTTGGCGTGTTCTTGATAGTTCATCTCTGAATCTATCACACTTTGACACTTTCAAAGAGTGACCAACCCGTCGGGAGTTAAGATTTGAAAAACATAAATGACAAGTCTCCTTGTCGGCAACTTTCTCAAGTCTACCTCTTATTTCATTCAAGTTGACGTGCTTATTAATGGCTTATCTCTAAGTCCATCGCACTTTAACACTTTCAAAGTGATCAACCCGTCAAGAAGTGTGCTTGGTTTTTATAAAAACTCAAATAAAACAATGGAACGTTGTTTACGAAAACACTTAGCTACTTTTGTTTGGTTTTRAAAATCTCACATTTCCGTCTCACACCCAAGCTATAAAAGCTTAGCTACTCATAACGGAAAGTAAATTACAAGAAAAATAAATGACGGAAATTAAAGACATAAACGTAAATTGCGTAAAGTAAATAGCGAGAAAGTAAATAACGGAATTGTAAATGACGAAAAAATAAATTGCAGGAATGTAAATGACGAGAATGTAAATTGCGAAAATTAAATAACGAAAAGTAAATAACAATAAACGTAAAAGAACATAAAATAAAGAACAATAAATTAAAAGACAAGGATTTAAAGGATGAAAACTTTAAAACTCAAGAACTTGAAATTTCTCAAAAGATTCTCTTAAAATCAGCCCTAACCAGCTGATTTTGATCTTGAATATATGTTAGAAGGTGTGTTTAAATCACAAGGCTAAGCCCCTTATTTATACACAAAGCCTTGCACTAAACAACAAAGATATTAACCACTAGATAATGTCCAAAACTTAATAAGAGGGAATCTTAAGTACAAGATGACATCTTAATTCAAAAATCCCTGATAAAAAAAAATCTTCCAGCTATTTTCCAGCTGTCTTCCATTCAGCATCCAAAAGTCAGCATCTTAATCGTTAAGCCCTCGCAAAACCGTGCACGTAACAGGTGGTTGCTACTGCAATGCTGTAGCATCATGCTGTTTTAGCAAAAATTATCCGTTAGCTTGTATCTTTGCGTCCCAGCAAGTTTAACCACAATATTTTTAGCTCCATAATAAAAGTATAAAGAAATAAACCAAAATGACTCAAACTCGGAATGAAAAGAAACAAATTATGACTAAAAAGACGTAAAACGAATGCATTATGTGTTGAATTCTCAACACATATCAACCCAGTATTTCTTTTTATTTTTTTTATTTCTTTTAATTTGAAAAATCACTGACATAATATCTTTTATTTTTAGTTAAAATAAATTTAATCAATAATATTTTTTAAATGTAAGTACTTTTTTGGTTCAAAAAATGTTTAGAGACTTTATCGTTCAAAATATAAATGTTTATTGGTTTTTTTCATGCTTTTCCCATTATTTTACTATGTTAATTAATTTTATAGGTCATAAGAATGTATATAATAGGTTTTAAAAAGTCCAAGGAGTTGTTTAACAGGTTTTAAAACATCCAATAACTTATTTGTTCCAAAAATTTGTCCAATGACTTAATCATTCCAAACACTAAAGTTCGTTGGGCTTTTTTAAACTTTTCTCATTAAAATATAATCTCAATTAAGATATTACTTTATCTTTCATCCCTCTATATTTCAATCTAGGGAAAATTGCATCAAAATGGAACCAACTTTCACCTGATTCCTATTTTGGGGAACCAACTTTCAAAATCGTTATTTTGTGGAACCAACTTTCACTTGATTCCTATTTTGGGTACCAACTTTCAAAATCGTCATTTTAGGAAACCAACTTGCACTTGATTCTTATTTTAGGGAACCAACTTGCAAAATAATTATAGAAAAATGGGAAAATTACATCAAAATGGAACCAACTTTCMCCTGATTCCTATTTTGGGGAACCAACTTTTAAAATCGTCATTTAAGGGTCTCTATCAAACTTTTGTTTATTTAAGGGTCTGGGTGATCTGTTGAACATATAACAAGTAGTTTAAGGGTCTCTATCAAAGTGTTGGTTGGATTTGCCAAATTTGATTTAAACTTTAATATTAACACATATTGGTTAGATATAAAAATCTTGAATGTGATATTTAATATTTATTTTTTATTGCATCAATTAATTTTTTTCTATTAAATTGATTTTTTTATTGCATTAACAAAAAAACAACAACTTTTATCGTGGTAATTTGAATTTTTTTCGAAAAAATCTTCAATTTGATATCTGAATTAAAAAAAAAACGATATTTGAAATGGAAAATAGATTTTATTGCATTAATTTTTGAAAAAAAAATAAATTTTAGTTATTTTTTATAATTATTTTGAAAGTTGGTTTCCCAAAATAAGAATCAGGTGCAAGTTTGTTCCCCAAAATGACGATTTTGAAAGTTGGTTCCCCAAAATAGGAATCAGATGAAAGTTGGTTCCCCAAAATAAGAATCAGGTGAAAGTTGGTTCCCCAAAATGATGATTTTGAAAGTTGGTTCCCTAAAATAGAAATTAGGTGAAAGTTGGTTCCATTTTGGTGCAATTTTTCCTTCAATCTAATCTTATTTGTTATCATTTAACCACAATCCACTCCAATCTAATCTAATCTAAAATATTATTTTATAAAAATCATATATTTAATTTTATATATAGCGGTGTTTGGGATTGCTTATTTGAAACAACTTATATTTTTTTACAAAAGTCCTTATCAATTTATTATAAGTTAAAATAATTTAACTTCTTCAAAAACTCATTATTACCGGTTTGGCACCGGTATAAGCTGTTTATCTAAACACTCAAAAGTGCTTATTACCAGTGTCACACCGGAATAAATCAATATGTTATTTTTATAAGCAATCCCAAAAACCCTCTCTATGTATAATTATTAATTTTAAGTATAAAAGTAGAATAAACGAACCATTATATATATTTTAAAAATAACTATAATTATAAAAAACTTATCATACAATTGAATTTAAATAAAACAAGTCATAAAAATAAGTAAGAAATTAAATATCTAAAATACGATAAATAATCGTAGTAAGTTTTCATACTGTGTGTTTGGATGATACTGAGAGTAATGATGACCGGTCCTGGGTCGGGCTTAAAACCGGTCCCAAGATTTATAGTAACCAGTTATGGGTCGCCGGTCTCGGTCATTAAAAATTAATTTTTTTATTTTTAATTTTTTAATGATATATATTTTTAATACATTATAAAATTTGTAATTGGGTCACTGAAATACACTTTAAAAATGCGTTTTATTATAATTAACATTACATTGTCTTACAAAATATAGCGAGAAACCRATAATTGTGAACGTTGTTTTGCGTTTTTTGTGAATCAAGAATTTGGTATGTAAATCCCTCAACCAAGACACTTATATATAGTGTTTAGAAAGCAAAAATTACAAAAAAATGCCCAAAAACGGCTACATTTAAAAAAATATATCTACATTTTTAAAAAATCGGGCCGGGCCGGTCCATAACTGGTCCCGGTCCCGCAAAACACCCTAAATCCATAACCGGTCCTAGATTTCGGTCCTATAACCGGTCCCGGGCCGACCGCTCTCAGGCCGGTTTGGCCATCACTAATTGAGAGTTATCAAGATGTTAAGAATTTGATTTTTTTTTTTTTGAAGTTTGGGTTCATAGCAGAAAATTGAAAGAAATTGTAAGTTGTTTTGGAATTTGTAAGATAACGAGAGGATTGAAATGAAAAAAAAGATTTATGTGATGAAAATACGTCAATATTAAGCTTTATTTGTAAGGAATTGAAAACCCTGAATTTTGGTATATTTATTATTTTTTAAATAAAGTCATTTTTTTGGGATGAGTTTTATAATATAAAAATGTAACTTGATCAATAATAATATAACATATGGCATATAAAATAGGATAAAAAATTATGATATGGGTTCATGTGGCGATAAGTGTCGGATGAGATTGCAATCTTTCTTTTTCTTTTTTATTTATATGTTTTTGTCCTAATCACATACATTCACATGGGTAGAGATCGTGAATAAAGATGGTTTAAGAGCTTGATATATTCAGGAGTTGTTATTTGATTTCCTATTAAAAAGTTAAAAAATATTTAGTGAATAATATTAGGATAAAATGCACAAAATAACAATATATTTTTATAAATTTCGTTATTATATCATTCTACTTTCAGTTTTTTTATTACAGCAACGCATTTTCAAAATACTTTTTATTAGGGCATTGTACCTTCAAAAATTACCCGTTAAAGCATTGTGTAACTTGTTACATTTTGAACAGGTTTTTCTTTGTTGACGTGTCGAACTTAAAATGACATGGAAGTCATATAGGATAACTTATTACACATAGATAACTTAAATGTCATTTAAAAGAAATTTTAACTTAAAAACAATTTTTAAAAAGAAAAAAAAACTTTCTTAAACCCTCCTCTTTGAACCCGACTGTTCATTCACCCTCAAACTCAATCACCCTCAATCGAACATCCTCTTCCTAATCGACCCTCATCCTTTTCTTCTTGATCGAATGTAAACCCTAATCGACCCTCATCCTCTTCTTAATCGACTTCTTTAGTGCTTCAATTTCCAGCAGGTAAGTTCACTATGTTTTACAACAATGGATGTATATGTACACTTGCTTTCCCTCCTAGACTTGCCTGATGTTTAGCTGTGACTGTGCATTAAGGGTGCGTTTGGTGCGCAGACAGGATAGGACAGAACAGAACAGGACAGGACAGGACAGGACAGCTGTTCAGCGTTTGGTAAGACATGACAGGACATGACAGGTTAAAATGACCAATTTACCCCCAGTAACCTGTTTAGTGTTTTTTTAACTAAATAGTCAATATAATAAATGCTTACAAATACTATTTAAAAATACCAAAAAATTTCCAAAATCAATCTTAATTAAAAACTCACATTAATAAACAAAAGATTTAAACATCATATTCACAAACAAAAAATGAAATGTTTACCAACAGACCTAAACACAAAAGATCAAATGTTTACAATTGTGTATCAAAAGACTTCAACACAAAAGATCAAATGTTTACAATTGTGTACCAAAAGACCTAAACACAAAAGTTCTAATGTTTACAATTGTGTACCAAAAGACTTCAACACAAAAGATCAAATGTTTAGCAACCAACATCACATGTCTAACTTTTTTAAGATAGTCGCCACAAATTTTGGCTTCAAAGTAGCGTTCATGTTATTCCATAGGCGTAGTTGAATCGGGTTATCGGCAAAGTACATGCTAATAGCAATAACTTGATCATCATCAAAACCCATGTTGGTTAACTCATCGGGCATAGTTTGTAAACCCGGAGTACCAACAACCGATACCAACTTACCCATTTCCTCGGATAATACATTCAACCCCTTCTCAATCACCTTCATTGCATCTTCAGAAACACCCGTTTTTTTTATGATGCTTCTACATCTTGTGGAATAGAGGATGCAGAAGCGCCATTAGAATGAGTAGTCAAAGGCACGTTCAATTCATCAGTATCATCCCCGACTGCACTTTCAAGATTTATGTGTTCCAATGCATCTGCGGCAGATTCCGCCATCGATCCTGTGGCTCGATCTTTTTCAAATATTGTTTTCAGTCGTTCATATTGAGGAAACGGCTTGTTGGCAATATAATTTTTTGTTTGGATGTTTCTATAAAAAAATGCATAAATATGAGCATTACCTTTAACTATGAAATAATAGCATAAAAAATATAAGCGTTACCTTTAAGTATTCCTCTAAAACTTGAGCATCCACCGTTACGCATTGATGTGCATCATCCCAACCGAATCCACTTGTATTTAGCATGTCATAAGCTGCTGAATACTTATCCTTGAGCCGCTTCATTTTGTTTTGGATGTGTTTTGATGTTATATTAAGGCTCGTAATCTTTTCACGCATCTTTAAAACAATTTGCTCATACGTGCCGGTTCGAAAACACCCATTATCACTCCTACCACCGGCGGCTACAATCTCTTGTAGAATGCTAATTAGTACATCCTCTTCTTGGATATTCCAATTACGTCTATCCGCCATCTTAGAATAATACATTATGATAACAWTTTAAAATTCAACATTAGCAACAAAATAATACATTATGATAACATTTTAAAATTCAACATTAACAACATATAAAATTCAACATTAAGAACATTTTAAAATTCAACATTAACAATATTTTAAAATTCAACATCTAAAACATAGATAATACAATACATTGAGTACATTTAGGGTGCGTTTGGTATGCTGGACAGGGTGGGACAGGACATGACAGAACACATTTGTCCTACGTTTGGTGTGGCTGGATATGGAACTAACTAGGACTAACTTGGACAAACATGGGACACGCGTGTTCCACCCTACA